GTCCGGCTGGAATAGGTAAGAGCTGTGCCGCGCAGGGAGCATCCCTGAGCTGCAGCTGCTGGGAGAAACGGGACCAAAGGAGACGCGTGAATGTTCGTGCTGTGGTGTGAAGAGCCCAGTAGCCACCTCTGTCTAGAAGTGTGTTCTGTGATACTGAGTGCTGCACATGCTAGGCAGTGTATATGTAGGCTTTCCTTTTGGAAAAGATGTATCCTTTCCAATGTGTCAAAAGAATGGATGTAGGTGATGTGGTAGCTGGTGTTAACCAGGCATATACATTAACTATTAATTAATTATTTCTTTTTTAATGTTTTTGTAGGTGTGTTGATCTTGATTTTAGGTGCTGAAAGCTGATCCTTCCTCTTCCAAGATGGCATTTGTTTCAGCACAAGGGCCTACGGTGGTGGACCAAACCACTTTGATGAAAAAATACCTTCAGTTTGTCGCTGCTCTTACAGATGTCAATACACGTAAGATACTTTTTTTTTCTATTGACAGTCCTTCAGTAGTTTGTTTCACAAACCTTGCAATGTTGTTTAGACAGTTGATAAACGTGTTGAAATCACTTTCAATTCTGTTTGAGTTTTGATTTTTGAAGAAGCAAAATGATGAGTAATACTTACATGAGCCAAAGTGAGCGAGCTCTGTGTGTGTGTGTATGTGCATGTGCATTTGTGTGATGGTTGATTGTGAGAATTGTGTGCCTTATAATTGGGCCGTGATAGCTAAACTGATAAGATCTGATTGCTTCCTTTGATCAATGATCTTGTGTTTTTGTTCATGATGTAGTTTTATATTTAATTTTTTTGCTTGAATTTTCATTTTCAGCTGATGAAACCAAATTGAAAATGATGCAAGAAGTCAGTGAGAATTTTGAGGTAAATATAAACACACCCAAACCCAACAACCGAAATAAGAAGACCCCACTAAACCCCCCCAACTTTCTGAAATGACAGTCTTCCTTGTGCTTAATATATGTTGGTTTTGATTTCTGATGTTATGTTTTTAAAATATTAATATTAGTATCTTGTGACTTATAACAATATAAATCATAAGTCAGTGATTTTAGGTTTGTATTTAGGAATTAGCTAGGTTACTGAACAATTACAGTGTTTGTACTGGGAGAGCTCTTTCATTCTCAAATCTTTATTCAGTAAGGATTTAAATAAAGGTGAACAAACAGATTTTTCTTCCATTTTGAATATACAATTTCTGTATTTAAAGCTTTCTTTTATTTAGTTCAAATGTTTATTGTGCCCTCACGAAGCAGAAGCCTCTCTGATTCCTGTGAGTAGTTCTATAGTATAGAAGCAAGGGAGGAGTTGTCAGATGCACAATCTGTCATCAGAGATGGAGATGGCTCCCATGACATCTTTTGCATAGTGGTGGATCATCAAGTTTAGATGAGCAGCAGAAAAAAAGTGAGGCAAAAGTTAATCCAAGCCTGTGTCAGCAGAAATTATACTTTAGTTCAATACTTAGTTATTATTTGTCTGTTCTGAAGTTATGGATAACTTGTTATTTTGTAGAATAAGTGCAGGATATTAGAATGTAATTATCTCTTTATCTAGCTTTTTAGTCATGTTGTGATTAAAAAAAAGTGCTACTGCGGTGACATATTCTGTCCTTAACTGCTTTTTTTGAAGTGATCTTGCATAGTCCATGATAAGGAAACATAAACACACATACTAGTCCAGTTCAATGTCTTTGGATATTTTAAAGCAAGCTTTATGCTAGGTTGCATCCAGTAGGTGCTGGATGTTGAAAGCTGTGCCCATTTTAGTTGTTTCGGTGGAATAAATTCAGAGCTGGTATAACTGTATTACAAAAAAAACCAACCCAAAGGTTAAAGGCTTAATCCTTGCTTAGTGTGTTTAAGTGATTAAGTAGATGTCTGTTCTGCATCTATATGCACATGGAGAGCATGCTACAGAGCTTCATATTACCATAAGTGACAATCTAAAAATATCTGTGTGGAGTTTTGTATCTGTTCAAGCTGACCTGCCATCTCTGACAAAATTTATCTGTCTAAAAGAATAGTTTTAACAGCTTAGTCTAATGATCTATTTAGACTCTGATAGCTTAGTTGATTCTCTTTGCTTTTGTTTTCAGTAGGGAAGAACTTGTTCAATAATTCTTTTGATAATGTTCACTTGGAACTCACTTGGTTCTGTAGTGTGGTCCTACACAAAGAGGTGGTGAATTGACTTGTGCAGAAGTACAGATCTATTTGCTGGAAAGTACTTGAGGGAGCAAGAGGAGCTACTAATATAGTGGTAGTTTCCTTTTTCCTTTAGAGGTTGAGTGCAGTATTGTTGCATTTTGTGCAACAATAAAGTATGCTAGATGGTTTCTTTTCATATTCTGTTTCCATAGTCTCCTTATTAACTCTATTGCCTACTTCAGTTCCCAATAGGTATAAAGTTCCTCAGGTTGGGGGTTTTTTTTTACTTCTTTTTAAAAATTAGCAGTTTGTTCAAATTCTGTTGGCTGCATTATTGATCAGGATGTCTTGCTAGTTAGGGGTAGAACTGAAGATCGATTGATGATTCTGGAGGACTTGTGGAAGTGAGGTTTAAAACTGACGTGCTTCACCTTAACATTATCTGCTTGACAGTGCCAGTTGTTGGGTTGGTTGGTAGGTGCTCTTCTGGGCTAGTAGAGGATATTGCTCTTCTAAACCAGTTTCTGGATGGACACACTTGACAGTTTTGAATCTTGTTTCTGAGAAATTACTTGTTTGAGGGGGATTTTATTTCCTTCATTTCTTCATAGATGTTCTGGATTCCAGATGGGAAAGAGGAATGTATTCGTTGTCTTACCAGTCTCCGGCTTGGAGGAGAAAAAACTTCCAGAATCAGCCTCTGTTGCTGCTTCTGATGTTTTGTGCCAGCAACGTTATTCTGAACTTGGTTTAGAGTAGTGGGGGTTTTAGTTTCTTGTATGGTTCATATAGGTAGCAGGAATGATGCTAATTTTTTACTCTTTGCTGTTTAGCAGTTATGGGGAAAGTGCTTTCAGAAATTTAAGCTGGATTCATGAAGGTATACTTTCCCTTGAATGGATTTGTGAGCTGTTTTCCAAGAATGCAGCAATACCTGTTTCATTTCTTGTTGGAAACTTTTTCATTCTTGTTGGAAACTTCCTCCAAAGGAGAACCATTCTCATGGCATAAAACTTGGGGAGGTTAGGAATCATTCAATGTTGGAAAGACTATAGGGGAGGTGAAGGAAGAGAAGATGCAGACAGACTTTCTTTGAAAGACCTTTGAGGTGAAGATGCAGGCTAATCTGTTGTTCATATCATCCCATCTTGCATTGTTGTGGTTTAACCCCAGCTGGCAGCTATCTCCGCACAGCTGCTTGCTCACCCCCTTTGGTGGGATGGGGGAGAGAATTGGAAGGACAAAAGTGAGAAAACTCATGGGCTGAGGTAAAGACAGTTGAACAGGTAAAGCAGAAGCTGTGCACGCAAGCAGAGCAAAACAAGGCATCTGTTCACCACTTCCCGTCGCAGGCAGGTGTTCAGCCATCCCCTGGAAAGCAGGCCTCCATCACACGTAGCGGTGACTTGGGGAAGACAAATGTCATCACTCCGAACATCACTTCCTTCCTTTTTCTCCCCTAGATCTGTATGCTCAGCATGATATCTTATGGTATGGAATATTGCTGGGGTCATTTGGAATCAGCTATCCTGGCTGTATCCCCTCCCAACTCCTTGTGCACCCCCAGCCTCCTCGCTGATGGGGTGGGGTGAGGAGCATAAAAGGCCTTGACTCTGTGTAAAGCTTAAGAATGATAAAAACATCTCTGTGTTATCAACACTGTTTTCAGCACAAATCCACAACATAGTCCCCTTGTAGCTACTGTGGAGAAAATTAACTCTACCCCAGCCAAAACTAGCAAGTGCATTTAAAATGCTTTGTGCCTTTCTTATGATATTCTGCTTTCTTGAAAGCCCTTGAGATAAAAAAACCCTTGGTTTATATAGTGCCTAGTGTAATAAAATTTATGGTTGCACATTACAATATCTTACTGCAAAGTAGAGAATAGTAGTGGAAATCCATAAAACGAGGTGGCTTTGTAAGACTTTAATTTAAGGAGTAATGTGAATAAACCTCTGAAATACCCATACAGATTTTTCAAAAGAATGCTGCATTCTTATTTTACCTGTAGTAGATGACCAGTGTGTTTCTGCATCACAGCTGCTTCAGAGAACTGCCTGTGCAGGTACATAATCTATAGCTGAGTTTCCAGGTAAACCTCACAGTGGTCAGTTAGATTATTTTTCAAGGCGGATGCAGGAGTTGCAGATGGAGGAAGCTGGCTCATCAAATATTTCTTCTGGTTTCACAAGTGGACACTAGTGCAATATGGAATGTAACGCTTAGTTTGGGTGATGTACACATACTTGCAGAAATGTACACATATTTGTAGAAATAACTAAAATCTCAGTTTAACAGTGCCTGAAAAGTCTTGGGAATCCTAAAGCAATGAAATTGCTTTAGGATTGGAGAAGAGAGGTTAATCTGTATTCAGTTTTGTTTTTCACTAATAGTGCTCTGTAGTGTATCAGTAAACGCAAAATCACTGTATTAAGAAGTTACTGAAAGCGTTTAATAGTGGCTTTGAATGTAACTTAATATCTATTCCTTTTTTGCCGTTGTTTTTTGTTTTGTTCTTAATTAGAATGTGACATCATCTCCTCAATATTCTACATTCCTGGAACACATCATCCCTAGGTTTCTTACCTTCCTACAGGATGGAGAAGTTCAGTTTCTGCAGGAGAAGCCAGCACAGGTAAACTGGAGCATCTCTTGCCTTTTTAGGAATGTATACAGCAGACTACTTGTTTGGTACTTGGTTAACCAAAGCTGATGTATGTGTAGACTTTGTTCTTAAAAATAGATCTGTAGTTTGGTAGGAAATTGAAAATGTCCAGTTTCTAAATAAGTTAGTTACAAACTTTGTAAGTCTGGCTTGTACAAAAAATGAGAAAAAACTATGTGCAACAGAATTGTTTTTCTCACTGCAATATGAAGTCAGATTACTGACTGCACTGTGGAATGAAAGGGAGAAGTTGAATCTATTGCGCTAAATACTTCAGTTCCTTAAAAAGTCTAACAACTTCCATTTTCCAGCTGTGAATTTGTTAGATTTGATTAGATATGTGGATAGTAGGAAGCATTATGTGTTTGTGTACAACATCTTTGTAAACGATTGACCACTGGAGGACTTAGTGTTCAGTAAAAAAAACATACAAGCTCTGCTTGAAAACGTTCTTCTTAACCAGCTTCTGAAGTGTTCCATGAACTCATAGTTCTGAAGGTTTAATAAGTCCACACAAAGTAAAATGGCTATTTTCTTTTTAAGCATGCAGAAGTGTTAAGCTGAAAACATGTCACAACTGGTGGTTGTTTTTTTTTCTTTTCTGTGGGCTTTTAAAAAGTTCTATCACATCTTTATCTTTTTTTCTGTGTTTTTTTTCAGCAACTCCGAAAGCTAGTGCTTGAAATAATTCACAGAATACCAACAAATGAGCATCTTCGTCTTCATACCAAAAATATTCTGTCTGTGATGTTTAGATTTCTAGAGGTATTTTTTTTCTCTTGCAACAGTTTCAAATTTTCAGAAAGCTTTTCGTTTTCTTTCTTCAGCTCCAAAAATGGTTGGGAGTAGGATTTTTAATAGCTGTGCTTCTGGGGCAAGAGTGGAAGGGTGTGATATTTAGGCTTCACCAGTGTAATTCCTTACTATGTACAGGTTTTCTGCATGTTCTCTTCTGCCCTTTAGAAACTTGGATTTTACAAATGCAAGGAGTGTTCTCATACTAGACAAGGTTTCATTCATGAATGCTTTTCTGGCAGATACCTTATTCTAGAGACTCTGTTTTGTTTCTTGCTTTTGAAGCTCACAAGAAAAAACCTGATCTATTTGGAGGTGTCTAGGTGCGTAAATAGCCTCACTTGTGCGTCTATCTGTGGGGCAATAGAAACAGGTCTGATGGTATGGAGCGGCTGAAACTTCTGTTTTTTGTTCAAGTAGGAGTGAGTTTAATTTTAGCCATGCTCTAAGGCTGCAAGGTAAAGTTATATCAAAGTGAAGTCATCTTGCTCATGAAAATTAATATTGATGGGGCACTTGGAGGTTGCTGCATACACTTTTAGAAGGTTTTGAAGTACTTATGCAGTAGTTGAAGAATGTAGCAGTAGGCTCACTGTAGATTCTCTTTTCAGACGGAGAATGAAGAAAATGTACTGATTTGCTTAAGAATAATTATTGAATTGCACAAGCAGTTTCGACCAGCAATCACTCAAGAAGTAGGTCATACATCTTGTTATATGTTATAGAACTTAATGTCATGGTATTTTGTTCAGGTGGGTTGTTTTGTTTGTTTTTTTTTTTCCTGATGTCCTTTCTATATTGGCTGACCTGTTGTGGTAACCATATATTATTTATTTACCTTAAAATAATATTTGGATTGCATAGTGCCAGCACCCCTGGGGAAAACCCAAACTGTTAAAGCTTAGTTGTCTTTGCCTTAAGTGTTTATGGACAAAATGATTAAATTGAGGAATAAAATTCCCACAGAAGGGAAGAGAATTGGTGCCTTTTTAGTATATGAAGGGAAAAATCCTGAAAAAGGAGTGTTATGATTGTTCCCCTGCTTCTCTCCTGTGACTCATGAAGGAGCATTTGAAAGTTTTCATTTTTATTCTCTTGCTTTCTTTCCATGATTTTCTCCTGGGAAGGCTTAGTTGGTTTGTAGTAATTATTTCAAACAATACTGTGTTGGGACTATGTTGAGATGGTAGGTAAATTGGATTCTTTCCAAGTGCAATTTGAATGAATATTGGCAAAACAGAAGGAATAATTAAGTACTTTCAGATTCTTTTTAAATATCATGAAAAATATACTCCAGTATATGTATATATATATGAAGATTTTATGTAATTGTACTGTTAATACAGAGTTTCTAGAACAGTGAAAACCTTTTCTTTATGGTAAACTGATTTCTTCCTTACTAGATCCATCATTTTTTGGACTTTGTGAAACAGATTTACAAGGAACTTCCAAAAGTAGTGGTAAGCTTTTTATTTCTTAAATTGCTCTTGCTATAGTCAGACAGCTAGTTTTTATTTCTTAATTTTATCTCTAAAAGATATTAACATAATTACTTTTGTATCTAGTGATACAAAGTAAACACAGTTTTAATAAAAACATTTAACAAAAATACATCTAAACGAGAGAAACTTAGATCTTGAATTAACCTTCTGTTTGTAGCACGCTATTACTAGTAGGAGAGGAAACAGGTAAACTTGAGGCAAACTTGTCTAATAAAGCACTAGTCAGTTGACCACAGTGGTTTTCATGTAGCCAAATATCTTTTTTTGGGGAAAGGGTGAGGTGATGTACTTTCCAGCAGCGGATAGAGCTCTTCAGCGTGCTTGACCTCTGTGGAGGTCATCACCTGCTTTTCCTCACTGGTACAGAGCATCTGTTTGGATGTTTTTCTTTAGCAAAAGAACCACTGTGGTTGGGGATGCTTCTCCACTGCTTGCTGCAGTGGGAGTGGAAGGTTGCAGGGTATGTCCGTAGCCTTAGTAGATCCTGTGGTATGAACATCGTGTGCAGAGAACTAAAACCTGCCCACAGTTAGTTGTAGGGGGAAATTATATGGTTGAATTCTAATGAGATTAATGGCTTTTTGACTGTTATTAGCAGCATTATATTTTTTTCTGCTGTTTGCTTGTAGAATCGGTATTTTGAGAATCCTCAGGTGATTCCAGAGAACACCGTTCCTACTCCCGAAATGGTTGGCATGATTACAACGATTGTGGTGAAAGTAAACCCTGAGCGAGAAGATAGTGAAACGAGAACCGTAAGTATTCAACTGCTCTTTAACTGTGACACTGGCTGTATCACAATATCCGAAATCATAAGGGCAGGTAAAGATAATAAGCTTTCTTCTTGCTTGTTCTTACCAAGTTTTATTTGTAGAAGCTGATTGAAAACTTTTCAGATATTTTCTATGCAGCTATAGTTACAGCATTTTTATGTAGTATAATACCAAATGGTTTTGTGCTTTTAAAATGTTATTATCACTAAGTATAGTGCAATTAAACTGAGTAGTTTCTTTAAAACTGTATTTCAAATACTTTTTTGAATTAATAACTGCTTATAACACATGTATTCTTTCTTTCAGCATTCTATAATTCCCAGAGGATCTTTATCTCTAAAGGTCTTGGCTGAGCTACCTATTATTGTTGTTCTTATGTATCAGGTTAGTATACTCCAGTATTTCACATACGTGTATATATATGCATATGTGCTTTTTGTTACTGAATGGCTTGTGAGCTTCTGCTGGCTAACATATTAGTGAAAATGAATGTAATGTGGTTTTGAGATTATAATATGGTCTAAAAATAAGCTGCGGAGATTTCTCCATTTTTTCTGATTAGCTCTCAAATAAGTTGACTGTGACTGTGACCTGTACATTTCTCTAATAATACTTTATTTTTATTTTTTTTAAGCTCTACAAATTGAACATTCATAATGTAGTAGCTGAATTTGTGCCCTTGATAATGAACACTATTATAATACAGGTTTCTGCTCAAGCAAGGTAAGAGCATTTTAAAAGTATTGTCATTTGGGATAAACTACTTCAATATGCCGTTCACTGTTGCCCAAAATACTTGTCTTGTATCCTGTGGTTTTCGCTTCTATTGGTAATGAAGAGTTTCTGGCACAAATCTGTATTACCACAGATAGTATGTGGTGGAGACCATGTTAGCTGAGACACTTGCTGTTGTTTAATCTTTACCACCAGTGGTACATTTTTTGTCTTCCAAGTTTTAGCATAGGTGAAGCCTTGTGATGTTGCAGATATGGGTGCCACTTTTTCTGCTTCAGATAGATGTTTATAAGGAGCAGCAAATGGTGCTGAGCAGGGCAGCAGGAGTAAAATCTCTGTCTTTTCCTAGCTGCCTGGATGATCTGAATAAATGGGTGAAGCTTGAGAAAGACAGACAAGTCTGTGGGAATGAATATTGCTTAGGAGAAAAAAAACTTAGCCTGGTTGGGGGAATGGAGCCAAGTGTTTGATGCTAATGTGTTGGCTTGGCTTTCTGTAGAAAGTTGAAAATTGTATGGCTGCCTCAGGTCTGTGTGTTTCTGCTTAGAGCATAAGATGCTGGGAATGGGAATGGCAGAGAGCTTGTTGAAAGTGAGCTCTCCCATGATGATTTTACTCCCTTATGAAGCAAAAACCTCACTACAAGATGATTTAATTTGAAACTTCTGTGAATTTTTTGAACAAAGGTATTAAAGAGGAGGAACAAAATCGTAACCGCTGTTCAATTTAATTTCAGGCAACATAAACTTTATAACAAGGAATTGTATGCCGATTTTATTGCTGCTCAAATTAAAACATTGTCTTTTCTGGCTTACATCATAAGAATTTACCAGGTAGGTTGCATTTTTGTTGCTTTGTTACTGCTAGTGCAGCAGATCTCTAATTACTTTATGTCAGGCAAGTGTCCAGCATGACTGCAGCGCAGCAGGGATTGGAGAGAAGAGGGTTTGTGTTCCGAATCTGAAGGCAGGGCTATACTTGGTCATCCTTTCAGAAGTATTCTCATGTGAATGCAAAGTAAATATGTGCTGTTTCCCCTGCCCTGGGCATTTATGGAATGGCTATTGTGTTTTAGTTTTACAGGTAGACTTTGTAAAGAGAAACAAGTGAATTTTAATTGACTATTCCTTTGCAAATGTAAAGCAAACCTTTGAAGTAGAATGTCATAACAATTGTATTCATGTTATTTTTTGTTGTAGGAATTGGTGGCTAAATATTCTCAGCAAATGGTAAAAGGAATGTTGCAGTTGCTCTCCAATTGTCCAGCTGAAACTGCACACCTCCGGAAGGAGCTTCTGATTGCTGCTAAGCACATCTTGACAACAGACTTGAGGAGCCGTATGTAGTACTTTTTAAAAATGGATCCATAAACTGGGAAGATTGTAACTATTTATGTGTATTTAAGAGGCATATTGCTTATTATTTGTTTTGGACTATTACATACTTCTGATTGTTTTGGGGGAGTGGGTGTGACTTTTTTTGTTTGTTTGTTTGTTTTATTTTGCATTTTTTCTTTTTCCTTAATAAAATCATCTGAGTGAGCAACTGGCTTTTCTAGCTTTCCAAGGATCTATTGTTCCAAGTAATTACTACTTGATGATAAGCATTTGTAATTGTGCCTATAATTCTATGGATACTTTACAGTAATAATCTTTTAACCTGAGTGAAAGTAGTTCTGTCAAATCCTGATACCATATGTTTGATTCAGCTCATAGTATTTGCCTCTAACCTGAACTTCCCCTGTGTAAGTTTGAAGCCATTACCCCTTGTCCTATCACTACAGTCCCTGATGAAGAGTTTATCCTTGTTAGGCTCCCTTCAGATACTAGAAGGTTGCTATGAGGTCTCCATGCAGCCTTCTCTTCTCCAGGCTGAGTTCTGTAATTAAGTATTGTGGTTACATGCAAAGCTGTTTCTTTGGCTCTTTTTCTAAACTAAAAATAAAACAAATAAAACAACAACCCAAAACTTAATTGTTCTACAGTTTTCAGCCTCTCCTTAATAACTTCTGAACTTGACCAGTTTCAAACCATATTCAGCAGAGGAGTGAGGTCTTAAAGATTTAATTTTCTTCATCCTTTGTGAACTTGGGTTTTGTCTGCTACCCAAACACTATAGTGTCTCCACTGGAGGAATAAACAGCAGTATGAGCTTAGACATTCATTGCCCTTGATCAGCTGTCTGGTGTATTAGCTTACATGTGGATTACGCATCCTTCCAGCCTTGCTCCTGGCTACTTGGCAGCCCAACGTGGATGTGGAGGAGGAAAGGTTTAGAAACATTAAGATGAAAAGGAAAGTGGTATATTAGGAGGAATATGGAGTGTGAGGAAGAGAAGTGGGATATATAGTATGTGGAGATCTGTAGAAGATGAAGCTTTGGTCGTTCTGCTGGTGCAGTTCAACTTATTTGGAAAAATGAGTGCTGAGGGAAGTGTTTAATGTTTGTAAGTCTTGCCATTGTTGTCAGTGAGATAATACTTCAAACTGAGTCTTCTGTGTTGACTGAGAGTTGGTGAATAATGCCGTGTATCTTACTGTGATGCGTTTTGTCTATGTGAAACTTTGTTTCTGATTCCAAAAGAGAGAGTGGAGGTTTAACTGTACTCGCTCTCTCCACTGTTATCACTGTAAACACTGCCCCTAAGAGTACTTCATATCAGCAATGTAGCATGCACATAAATATTAGATGGAGGTTTTAGAACCTAGCTTAGAAGTTAGAATTCACCTTGAATTTAGAAACTTACCTATTTTGTTCCCTACAACCATTTCTTAAAGAGAATCTTGAGATGTCTATTTTAAAAGGCTAGAATGGTTTGTGTGGCATTTCTGAAAGTCTAATGACTGAATATTGCAAACATGTCTTAATTTCAACGTAATACGTTCTTAGGTCATGAAGTTTAATGAGAGTTCAATCAGTAGTCTGGTGTAAACAATTTATTGTTTGCTTTACTGAATTTTTTGTACCAATTCATATTAAGAGTAATAGCAAAACACAGGAATGTTAATGTTAAATGTGTTCAATACACAGAAACTCATTACTGTTTTTCAATTTGCATTTCCTTTGCTTTTTTTGTCAGGATTTGTGGCTTTAACTCTTTGTTCTGGTAACACCAATGCTATTTAGAGTAACTCCTTTTTTAGATTGGTTTGATGATCAAAGGTAGTTCCTTTCCAACTATTTTTTTTACTTACCTTTTTTTCTCCACAGTAGTATTTGTTGGCTATGATTGAATTTATTCATTTCATGACAAGGCTGTGGTGATTGCCTTGTAAAAAAAATAATGGATTATCTTTGCAGTTAAAATCTTTATTTCCATTCTTTGTTTGCTTTTACCACTGTAAGTTTTCCAGATCTCTGCCACACTCGATGCCGATGTTCTCCTTTTATCTTCCTCTATATTTTTGCAGAATGTGACATTCTCTTAAAGCAAAGACAGCTACCATGTTGTCCCTTTGATTTAAATGGACCTCACTGATTCCTTGTCCATTTGAGATTTCATTCAGAAAATGCTGGATTTTAATCTTTAATATTGCTTGGAAATCTGTGGAGAATGAAGGTTGCTGGATATTTCTCTTTCTCTCACTCTTTGCATATTTTTAATAAGATTTAGCTTGTTGCATTGTTTGGAGGCGGGGCAAGTGTCAGTGGAGTTCATAGTCACAAGAGTTTAATTGAAGGTTTCCTTGATTTACGAAGTGTCATTTAGACACTGGCTTTTATAAGCTTCAGGAATGAATTTTGTAATAAAAACACTTTGAGTTAGGTTTAAGTATTTAAGTGATTTCATGCTTAACTGTCTTATTTTGACTATTTCCTTTGTCAGTCATGTATAGCTTTTTCTTTTTTCTCTCTTTTTTTTTAATATAGAATTTATTCCATGTATGGACAAGCTCTTTGATGAATCTATACTTATTGGCTCTGGATACACTGCCCGAGAGACACTGAGGTATGACAGAAAGTTTGGAATAGCTATCTGAGTACCTTCCAGGGCTAGTTTCTTTCAAGGTTTATTAATACTTACAATAATGTCTGTATAAGGTCCTAAATCTTTGCTTTAAGTAACTGATTCTATTAGATTCCAATATTGGAAGGGCTTTTGTTGCTGTAGAGTGTTTGTTGTTGAACACTTTGATGCTGCTGCGTGGTAGTGTGAGTGTAGGGCAAAATGAGATAAACATGAAAATTATTTCATTTTTTGAATTGCAGAGCACAACTGAAACAGTGGTCGCTGTGAAATAACTCAGTATCTTCCTCATATTTCATGAAACTGCCTAAATCTTGTGTGCAGTGTAAAATCTCAAAGAGATTTAAACTATTTTGACAATAAGTACTTTAAAACTTACTCATTCACAATTGCAGAACAAATAAATGGGGAGAATACTTATTTTCTGTGACTTCAGTAGATACTTACATATAGTTTTTATGTGCTTTTGCTGATCAAATGAAAATATGACAACAAGGAGAATTACTTCCTCTTGCTCAAGAATCAAGTGTACCTTACTGACAATATGCATTAGATTTAGAAGTATTCTCTCCACTAGATGCTTAAGCCTGGTATTTGAAAAGAAATGATTTTTAAAATCTGTTTTCATCACTATTTTTGAAATCATGAATCATCAATAATTATCTGTTGTGAAACAGGTTACCAATGCTTCTTAAAATGTGGCTTAAAACATGCTAATTTGCTGTTAACTGACTGTAGGTGAAAATGTGTGCTGGGGATGATGCTCAGCAATGGGGGAAGAAAGATCAGAGAGGTAATATTAGTGTTGTGAGACAGATTAATGCATCTTTGGTTAGATTGTATGGGTTATAGTTCTCTTGTGTAATTAAAAAAGCTGTGTGAACTTGAGATTTGCATGTAAAAATAGAAAACATGGATTTAGAATCTCGGAAATAGCTCCAGGTGGTAATTATTGGTTAAGTGCAGTTAACAACAATCTGAATTGTCCTCAATGTGTTTTCTTCGTTTCTTGTTTTTACTGATAGACCTCTTGCATACAGTACACTGGCAGACCTGGTACATCATGTCCGTCAGCATTTACCACTCAATGATCTCTCCCTTGCTGTCCAGTTATTTGCCAAGAACATTGATGATGAGTCGTTGCCTAGCAGTATCCAGACCATGTCTTGCAAGCTTCTGCTAAATTTGGTAGACTGTATCCGGTCTAAAAGTGAACAGGAAAATGGAAATGGTAGAGATATTCTTATGAGAATGCTGGAGGTATTGATTTGTTTAAAACATTTGATAATAAGTTGAATGTCCTATTTTATAGTACGTTGTCAATCACATTTTACTTTCTCCTTTCTTCAAGAAGTGAGAATATGTAGAAACAGTCTGCATACTGTATTTCATTTCAATATTTCAGAGAAGGGCTTTTTAAAATGCAATGCAGCTGGGATAATATCTCAAGTACAGCTGAGGTGCTTTGCCAACTCAGCTTATTCATTCAGTGACTTGTTTCAAAGCAGGAAACAATGTCTGTGATACTGGAGTAAGAGGATTATCTCACAGGTCCTTGGCATAGCCCATTACAATCTGTAAAATGTGCAATATCTGCACTTTCAAGACCTATTTCAAGATCCTTTTGAGGATCATCTTTATATGGAGGATTTTTGGAGGGTTTTTTTTTTTTGTTACTTTCAAAAATCAGCGGTGCACCTGGGAAGCTGTCATCCATGGTGTAGCACAAGTGAAACACAACCTGCTTACTGTAGCCAAGTTTTAATGGAAGAAGGTTGCCTAGTATTTCTTCTGCCACAACATGAAGATGCATTCAGTTGTAGAGTAAAACAGTAAAACACTTCTAGGGTAAACACTGGTTTAATAATCTCATTTTGGGATGTGAGACCATGTCTTGAAATCTAAATCAAACTGTTGTTAGTGCTTTAAGAAGACAGAGGAGGCTGTGTGGCTGCTTGTTTGGGAGATCTAGGAGTTTTGAATATAGTGGATTCTCTGCATCTTTGACTTTTCTTCTGTCACCGACAGACTGTCACAGTTCTGCATGTACCAGGGAAGAGATTTAGTCATTTTAGTCATCTCCAGATTATTTGGTGTTACCCCTGAACCCTTTTATTTTATTTTTATTTTTTCAAGGTAGCAGTAATTTAGGGAATGGCTTTCATCCTAAATACGGAATACACGTGATGGTACAAGTGAAAGATCTTGATGTTATGCATTATAATGGGTCCTTGATTCCATATTGCTCAAACTGAAGTAGCTTTCTAGTAGGGTTTGTCTTCCAAATAAACTTCTACTTTTTTTTTCCCTATTTTTTGAAAACCCAGTAATGTAGGACAAATGTTTCGTCATTTGTTTATCACCTTAAAATTTGTAATAATATGTGAATTCAGAGAAGATGCATCTAGGCAAGAAGGGAGCATACAGAGCTGTGGTGGTAGTGGGGAAATACCCGAGCAACCAAGCTAAGTCGATCCAGACTTTAAAATCTGGGAAGCACAGAAAACTTTGTGCATCATGTCCCTTGTTTGGTGTCAGCCAAGAGGCAGAAATGTTGGGGACCACTGTTCTGCAGGATTGATTATTGCTTTCTAAAGCTGATATGCTGCATAAAACTAAAACTTAAACCTATAATGCATATGTCTTGTAATACATCATCTGACATACAGCACATACACGTCTGAAAAAATGAGCTTTTTTTGCTTAGTGGTAAATATTTATAGACTGAAATATTAAGTCTTACTTTAAAAAATGAATTAAAATAGCTGTTCATTTTAAATTAATTAGAACTGTAGAGGTCAATTTTTAGTGGATGGTGTTATTAGTTTTCAGCAAATATTTTTGCTTTTAGAACTTGTTAAAAAGTAAGCAAACTACTTTGATACACGTTAACTGAACATGTTACATGTTTGCTGTCATTGGGTGACTCCAGAAATACTGATGTAAATTTTTTTATCTTGCTATGCTGACTTGAATTTATTAGTATTTTTAAATTTAGAATGATTATTGGAGAAGAAACTTACTTTCTTTTTTCTCCCCCTCCCTGCTCTTTCATTTGGCTTTCCCATTTTTGCCCTAGGTTTTTGTTCTGAAATTTCACACTATAGCACGATACCAACTGTCTGTAATCTTTAAGAAATGCAAGCCACAGTCTGAACTTGGGGCTGCTGAAGCCGTGTTGCCTGGAGTACCAACAGCAGCAAATGCAGCTCCTGTTCCTGTTCCATCTCCTGCTCCAGCCACTCCAGTGGCCCCTGCACCAGTACCTGTGTTTGAAAAACAAGGGGAGAAAGAAAAAGAAGATAAACAGACATTTCAGGTCACAGATTGTCGAAGCTTAGTGAAGACTTTGGTCTGTGGTGTCAAGACAATCACGTGGGGCATAACATCATGCAAAGCTCCTGGTGGTAAAACTGCCTAATATTTAATTACATTGATCTTTTGTAATTCTACAATTAAAACAATGAAAATACCTTTTTTTAATGGTTAACCACTGCTTTATTCTTTATCTTCTTTCAGAAGCACAATTCATTCCCAATAAGCAGTTGCAACCTAAGGAGACTCAAATCTATATAAAACTGGTAAAATATGCAATGCAAGCTTTAGATATTTATCAGGTATGTAAGCAGGCCATTTAGCACTTTTATTTGTACAGTTACTGTGTGTTAGATCTTTTAATAAGGAATTGTCAGCTAAAAGACAAATGTCGTGACGTATGTTTTCATTAAGTCTTTAATTTCAGGATCACAGCTGTTGGGGAAATTTTATGAATTCCAAAGTACTTACAATTCACCAGGAACAAGTTATTTTCTTAACAGCTGTAATTGTCTGTGTTTATACAGGCAGGTCAGACTGAAAGCAGTTGTTTTTTATGTGGTGGTTTAAATGTCTTCAAGAGATAGTTTAGCTATCAGTTGAAGTATTCACATGGCTACATTTGCCTTCTGTAGCTACACATAGCACTGATGAAATGTAAATGTACATGATTTGGAATTAAGTAACTTTGCGAATATACTATGATATCTCATAGTATATGAGATATATCAAAAAGCTGTTGGCTTTTTCCACTCCTGACTTAATGGTTTTAAAACCTGTGGTCAAACCACTCTATTCTAATACTTCCATTGGCACCGTTGGCTCTTGTGGCCCAACTTCTAATTGTGTGGGGCTTCATGTGAAACCTGTAAAATGCCTTTTCTTTTTTCAAAGGGTATCCTAAGAATAGCAGAGGGAAAAAGTTATTCAGTTCTGTAACCAATCTATGTGTGTTCTCAATTCCTGTAGGTCCAAATAGCAGGAAATGGACAGACTTATGTTCGAGTAGCAAATTGTCAGACAGTCAGAATGAAAGAGGAAAAGGAAGTTCTGGAGCATTTTGCTGGTGTGTTCACAATGATGAACCCTTTAACTTTTAAAGAAATCTTTCAAACTACCGTTCCTTATATGGTGGAGCGAATCTCAAAAAACTATGCTCTTCAGGTATTATGTTTTTGTTTACTTTTTTCAATTGATAATAAATGGCATCCAGGAAATAGCTTATGCCTGAAAGTACATAAGGCTGATACAGAATTAGAAATAATAATGTTGAAATTAGCCTGCAAGATTTGAAGAGGTTTATAAAAATACTTTGTGAAGATGGGTATTCAAAACCTTTCCATACCAAGTTTAGAAAGTATGAATAGAATCACACAGAATCATAGAATTGTTGGTGTTGGAAGGGATCTCTGGAGATCATCTAGTCCAACCTCTCTGCCAAGGCAGGGCCTTCTAAAGCAGGAAGGTGTCCAGGCGGGTTTTGAATGTCTCCAGAGAGAGAGAGTCCATGACCTCCCTGGGCAGACTTTGTTCTTGAAAGGTGTTGAACATGGTGGAGTTCTTGTTTTGTTCAGGTGATTGTGTTAATGTTCTACTGTTTTGCAGAATACAAGTCCTATCTTGCACATTTAAAATTAAACTTTAAACTTGAATACTTAATAGTTAAGTTACAGGCATGGTTTTTGCCACTGAGGATAATGTGAATCACTTGGGTAGCAGTGGAGATGGGGAAGGAAATTTGTCTTAGTTTTTTGTTTTAAATGGGTAGTGCATTTGTGCATTTGTTCTTTTCAGTATAGCAACAATAACTCCTTTGTCATTTCCTTCTATAGATTGTTGCCAATTCCTTCTTGGCAAACCCTACTACCTCTGCCCTCTTTGCAACGATTTTGGTAGAGTATCTTCTGGATCGGCTGCCAGAAATGGGCTCTAATGTGGAACTCTCCAATCTGTATCTCAAGCTGTTCAAGTTAGTCTTTGGCTCAGTTTCGCTATTTGCAGCTGAAAATGAACAAATGCTGAAGGTAAAGGTCATTTGTGTTAAAACCAAAAAAATCTGTTTTGACTTAATACATTCTTCAGATGCCTGAAGAAACTTAGTATTACACTGTCTAACATTTGATAGTCTTTTCACGTTTGAATCACTATTAATGGTACATCTCCATTTTTTCCAAAAGGCAGGTACATTGCCTTATTTATAAAAGATGGTTTCTGTGAATGTTTGCTTCATATTTGAAGCTATAAAGTGATTTACTAATTATGAATATAAATGACTGACATGTATGTGTGATCTTATTAGGACTGCAATAAACCTGTGTAACTTCATGGTCAGGATATGCATATCTTGCATATTTTTTGTTCCCTTTGTTTCCATATTAACTTAAGACTTTTGCTTAGACTGAAATCGCTCTTTTTTTTCCTTTTGTGTTGTTGAATCTTGTTAATTCATGTCATATTCAGTGACATTTATCTCTTCAGTTAGATATTTCTGTGCTCTCAAAAAGTCTGCATTAAAGGATGCTATTTCTGTTATTGACATCATACTGTCTTTGTAGTCCAAGGATTTATTTATGTTGATGAGATCATCTCATTATTCAATGAGCTTAGAAATACTGAGCTTGAAGCAAGAGTGTTCTGTTCTTATGGAAGTAAGAGCTGCCTATACCCAGAAAAACCATTAAGATATTAGTTGAGCACTGCCTCTTCTCTCATAATTTCTCTCCATGTCTCTTCCTTTTGCTTTAGAATAAACAATATTCTGATGCACGTAACTGTGTGATAATAATTTCTGTGCTTAACAATTTGTTACAGCAGGATTAGTTCAGTTTTCTGGGTAGAACAGAATGGGGACTACTAATTTTCCAGGTTCTTTGGAAGACAAAATAATATGAAACAATATTCATAGAATCTTGCTTGAATTCTTCTAGTTTGTCATCGGAATCAAGGTCATTTGGATTTCATAAGCTAGAGATCCAATTTAAAGAGTGTGATGTACTACCTTCACAGTTTCACGCTTCTGTTACCTTTTTTGTTTCACAGGATTGATGACATGGGCCTTGGGTAGACAATTTAATTGAATGATGAAAGCTATTTGCAGCATTTGCATAGCAATGTAGAAAGCTTTTAGACATTAATAAAATTCAGAATTGTATCACTGTTTGTCCCTGATCTGTGAGACTTGTATTTATCAACTGTTTTTAATGATTTCTGCAAACTGTTGATGTCTGTAGAGAGGCCACCAGTTCCATTACCATTTTTTGACTTGTAAAAGTTTGCTTTCAAAGTGAAGTTTTAGCATTCACAAAAACCTAAGAATCAGTGATGAAGTTCGATCAGGAGTAGATTAATATTGTGTCATTCTGACACTTCTGATTTCTGCTATGCATCTCTGGACAAATATTTTTAATTGTGTCAGATTTGCAGAAGATTTTTTGTTATAATAAAGTTACTGCTTGGAGTAGCAAGCAGGCTTGGTTGTTTGACTAATATGAAAACAGGAATTAATTAAAAAATGCTTAGTGTTCAAATACAGATTTAATTTTTAACTGTTTCAGTAGTGGTATAGAATTAGAGTGGTATCAGAGTAGTTGGAATAGCTGAAGGTTTTTGATCTGAAAAACTTGTTGCATGCTAGAATTGTACAGTACAACGATGATAATACTTTATTAATCTTCAAGTTTACTTTTTTTTTATAGCCACATTTGCACAAGATTGTGAACAGCTCTATGGAACTTGCACAGACTGCCAAAGAGCCCTATAACTATTTCCTGCTACTCAGAGCGCTGTTCAGATCTATTGGAGGAGGCAGTCATGATCTGTTGTATCAAGAATTCTTGCCGCTCTTACCAAACTTACTGCAAGGTAGAACAATACCGTCTTTCCCCACCCTAGTTTCTGATCTTTTTATGTAAATATTAGTAATAAAGTTATATTATGGAATTAAAAAACCCCAAAACTAAAGCCCTAACCCTGACAAGTAGTTTCTGATTTTTAGCAGTTGATGAAATATCTTGAATGTGGCTTCTTTTCATTTACTGTCAGCTCCTTCAGGCTCCATAGTTTTGGCTGCTTCACAATTTCTGCTGCTTGTTTTTCTGCTTTTCATTGTGGGGCTGTTGGGTTTCTGTTGTTTCTATCATTTTTTTTTTTGCTTGGATAGCTTTGTTAGCATGCAGCATTGGGGGATAAGAGTAACAGGAGAAGCAGTAGTGCCAGGCCATCACTGGTTCTGTGGGTAGAATATTACAGAGAAGCTCTGGTTGTCCTGCTGTTGAGAGCACGTGTATGCACCTGCAAGAGCATGATAAATATAAATGCAGATAGTGTCAGTCTGCAAAAAAAAAAAAAAAAATGGAAATAACTGTCAGTTTCTTTGAGCATTTGTGCTTGCAAGAACCATGTTTCAGAGATACGGTGAGCACGGAAATGTGGAGAACTACTTAAACCTATGGACAAGCTAATGGGGACACCTGGATTGGCACAAGCCCAGGCACAGCTACAGGGTGGGCAGAGAAGAGATTCAGAGCAGCCCTGTGGAGAAGGACTTGGGGGTGGTGGTTGATGAGAAGCTTGACATGAGCTGGCTGCAGGGTGTGCTTGCAGCCCAGAAACCAACCGTATCCTGGGCTGCATCAAAAGAAGTGTGACCAGCAGGTCGAGGGAGGTGATCCTGCCCCTCTACTCTGCTCTTGTGAGACCCCACTTGGAGTATTGTGTACAGTTCTAGTGTCCTCAACATAAAAAGGACATGGAGCTGTTGGAGCAAGTCCACAGGAGGGCCACAAGGATGATAAGAGGGCTGGAGCACCTCCCTTATGAAAACAGGCTGAGAAAGTTGGGACTGTTCAGCCTGGAGAAGAGAAGACTGCGTGGAAACCTCATAGCAGCCTTCCAGTATTTGAAGGGACTCTTCATAAGGATGCTGGGAAGGGACTCTTTATTAGGGACTGTAGTGGTAGGACAAGGGGTAATGGGTTCAAACTTAAACAGGGGAAGTTTAGATTAGGTATAAGGAAGAAGTTCTTTACAGTGAGGTGGTGAGGCACTGGAGTGGGTTGCCCAAGGAAGCTGTGAATGCTCCAACCCTGGAGGTGTTCAAGGCCAGGCTGGGCCGAGGCAACGGCAACATGGTTTAGTGCGAGGTGTCCCTGCTCATGGCAGGGGAGTTGGAACTAGATGATCTTAAGGTCCTTTTGAAACCCAAACCATTCTATGATTCTGTGATTCCAGGAATGAGTAATCCAGTGGTTCCCATGTACAGTGGCAATTTTTACTGTGGTTAGCAAATACGTGTATTATCTATAGATCATTATATAACATGTCAGTGTAGAAGTGCTAGCTAGGTTTATGAAAACTTGATGGGGAGAAAAAGAAGTTGGGGAATGTGCTTAGTCTGTATGGGACAGTGAATGTACTTGAACTCATTTAATATTTCTTTTCAGGATTCCAGATATTTCAAAACCAATTTGTTCTGTGTGGATTTTTTTTTTGTTGTTGATGCAAGGCTGAGGTTTGAGTTAAATTATCTTTTTCTGGTTTTCAGCTGTATTCAAATGCTACTTTATTCAGTCTAATATTGAATTTTAGGATATGCATAGATATTCCTTTTGTATATGCATGTACCTACAAAAGCATTCACTGCCTAAAATCCTTAGTTGTAAGTTAAAATTGTGAATGGTATTACTTTTTGTAACTATGTTATCTGCAGAGCTTTACAGAATTTAGAGATGTGAGGTTATTCTGAATTTAGGAAACAGCAGTTTTTAACTATAAACTGCCTTTTTCCTTTGCATAACTTCTCAATGATTTTCAGGACTTAATATGTTGCAAAGTGGCCTTCATAAACAACACATGAAAGACTTGTTTGTAGAGCTCTGCCTCACTGTGCCGGTTCGTTTGAGCTCATTGCTGCCTTACCTGCCAATGTTGATGGATCCCTTGGTGTCGGCTCTCAATGGATCTCAGACCCTGGTTAGCCAAGGCTTGAGAACTCTTGAATTGTGTGTGGATAACTTGCAGCCAGACTTTCTGTATGATCACATTCAGCCAGTTCGAGCAGAGCTAATGCAGGTAAACATGTTGTTTCCCGTTAGACCACAAGAGGTCACTGATTCACTAAATATTATTAGAAATCTGGGTGAACCTTTAGTTATAAAAACTTAAATCTGTCATAAGAACCATACCAGTCTGGTGTGTTTGTAAAAGGCCAGTTCGTGGTGTGTTGTTGGCAAATATGTGTGTTATCTATAGATCATTATATAACATGTCAGTGTAGAAGTGCTAGCTAGGTTTATGAAAACTTGATGAGGAGAAAAAGAAGTTGGGGAATGTGCTGAAAACTGTGAAAAATTTGAAAGTGAATTGTTTCTTCTGTACCCCCTGTTAAAGTTAAGACTTTAACAGGATGTATAGTTAAGAGTTGGAATTAAAGTAGCAAAGAGTTGGGTTAAAGTTATTTAGTAGCAAGAATATTACAATGTTTAAGATGAGTTGGTACAGAAAATGATTAAAATTTTTTAGTTTTAAAAAACCCTAAATCCCAACAACAAAAAACCCCAATCAAACCACATAAGCTTATTACCTTCAGCATATCATGATTGACAGCTATATGCAGTCTTACATATACAGTGAAGATGATATGGCTGAAATTCTGAACATTTTAAATGTGGCTATTTCCCTTAATACAGTGCTTTCGTATACTTTATCTTCTAAATATAATACTTTATTTGCTTTTTATGTTTCAAAACTAGATCTTGGAGGTTATTTGATTTCAGCCTTAAATGGCTTGCTTTTTGATCTAATCTGCATTTAGGACAACCTTGTTACCAAGCACTTGAACTGTTGCAAACTGAGACTGCTTTTATTCAATCTAGAGTAGTATTTTCTGGAAGTTATGGATCGATTAGCCAGATACAAGAGTAAATGTTTTCCTTAATATTTTTTTACATTACAACTTGAAAAATGTTGGTCTGACCATTTAATATTTAAAATATTTACTGGTAGGCTTTATGGCGTACGCTGCGCAATCCTGCAGACAGCATTTCTCATGTGGCTTATCGTGTACTTGGTAAATTTGGTGGAAGTAACAGGAAGATGTTAAAGGAATCACAGAAACTACAGTATGTAGTCACAGAAATCCAAGGACCCAGTATTACAATTGAATTTTCAGACTGTAAAGCATCCATTCAGCTCCCAATGGAAAAGGTAAGGGCTTAAGTTATTTTCTGTGCTGAGAGATTGTCTTACTCAGTTTCCCTTTATTACAGACTTTTTGGAAGTTTGCTTGTAAAATCTTGTTAAAATATGTGGTATGTCTGCCAGTTCCAGATGTGAGTTAATAACTATAGAATTTACATAATTAAAAGTAGGTTTTAGGGTCTCTTGCATACCTGATTTTTATTTTTATTTTTAATATCCCTTCAGAGAAACAAAGATATTTCTAATTTATGTTGTAATAGAGACACAGAATCTAAACCATATTTTTTTTTGAGTTGCCAGACTTGGTAGGTGAAGGACAAACCATTGTTTCAGAAATCACTGCAAAGAGCTCTTTTGCTTTTTTCACTATGTAGTGCAGTATCAGTTGAGAGCAGGTAGGCTTACTCTAACTTCTTGCTTCATTTTGACATGCAAAACTAGTAGAAGCTCACTAACCTTTCTTTATTGTCCCTTTACTCTGTTCTATATGTCACCTGCAAAATCCATAAATTTAAACATACTTTTCTGCTTTTACAGAGTGATAGAGTAGGAGCTAAACTGGCCCAAATAAATGCTTTCTGTACACTTCTTTTTTTTTTATCCTTCCCTTTCCTAGCTTTTGGTGTACTGCTTAGATTAGGAACAGGAATGTACTCTAAAACCTCCCTATTTTCTTTTTGAAGTGTACTGAAAACTTACTTTAGAAATTCTTCAGTGATGATCATTCTAATGAATAAAAAACAATGGTTTGGTTTTGTTTGTTGTTTCTAGGTTGGGTATAGTACTTCTCAGAGCTGCAAAACCACTTTGTACTTGTATAGGCTTTCATCTGACAATCTCAATATGTCACAAATGCTTAGTTCTCACTAATTACAGCAATCTAATCTGTGTCTTGGGATCTGAGAGCGAAGCTGTATTTTGAGTTAATTTGGCCTGTAGAGTTACTTACCTTTTCAATCACACGTTCATAAGTAGATATGATCTGAATGTAGTAAAAAGTTTCCTGTAGAGGCAGCTGGGTCTCTTTGGCTCCATATATACAACCATCAGGTTTCAAAATAGCATGGAAGAATGATTCTTAAAATACAGATAGTTTTTTGGATTTCTCCTCTCTACTGAAACTGATGACTTGAATATGTATAAATACTGTAATTGCTGGCATTTTTCTATCCAGCTAGGTTTAATTCAAACAAAGTTTTCATGCATCTAAGGTGTTGGTTAATGATAGAGAATGATCTTCAGCTGCTTGGTGTTGACCAAGAAACAATGTATCTGCTGAATACTCTGTAACTATAAACAGGAAATGTCAAATTAGAAGAGAAAAAGAAGTAGAATAAGTTGAAAATGAGAAATCCATGTTTCCTTTTAGTGCTTTAGTAGTTTTCTATGGTCTGTGTATTGTTCTTTTCATTGAGATGCTTATAAGATTATTGAAACACTGATGGGATGACAGCTAGTTAAGTCAGTAAGTGGAAAGATGGTTTTCAGTTCAAAGAAGGTAGAGCCTTTTCCTGCGTTACCCTGTTTAAGCCTGAATGGTTAGATTTTATTCACAATTGATCAAGTATCAAAATTTCTTATTTTGTGCACTCCAAAACAGTTTTTCCATGTTGTTTTGCTTAATGCCTGTATATAATTAATTTGGTTTTACTTTCTTCCTTTATTTTTTTTATTTTGAAAGTATAGAAAGTATGTAGCTGTGTTTATATATATATATATGCAAAATAGAAATTTTTCAAAAGTATGTACTCCCCCTTTTCATTGCATTTGTATCTTAAGAGGTTATTTGAATTACTCTCAAATACATTAGCTCTTTTTGCAAAGGAAAAGTACTATCTCCATTAAGTAAATGGTGTTTAGAAGTTACTTACAGGGACATTTAATCGTGGTGTATGATTAAAGGTATGATGAAAAATATGATGCATGGAAAATATGACAAAGTCATTTGTAAGATAGAACATTTTATGGTACCATTTATATGTGCATATAAATGCATTGGATACCAACAGTGTGGAGGGATTAGGAACAGCAATTATACCTGGAGGGAAGGTGAGGGAGATTTTCTTGAGGGGGAGAGAGAAAGGACAAAGATGTACTTCACTCATGACTTCAAATGCTTTCTGACCGTGGAAATATATGTATCTGCCATGAAACTTTGCATTTATAGAAGCATAGCAAGCATCATGGTAATTTCCAGTCTGCTCTCTCAGGCGTTCTTTGCATTTCTTAACTTAGACAGTCAAAGTTGTACATACTTTTAAAGTTACTTTTAATATATGTTAAAGATGCCATTCCCTTGGTAAATCACCTCATTGTAAATATTAAGAACAAGAAGTATTTGGTTACTATCTATCTCTTTTTTTATTACAGGCAATTGAGACTGCTCTGGACTGTCTGAAGAGTGCTAATACAGAACCGTATTATCGTAGGCAAGCGTGGGAAGTAATCAAGTGTTTTTTGGTAGCTATGATGAGCCTGGATGATAACAAACATGCATTATACCAGCTTCTTGCACATCCCAAGTATGACAATTCTTTAAACATAAATGTGTATGTAAAATTTACAGTGTTTTTAGAACAACCTAATTTAGAGACAGTGGTTAGTCTAAGTAACATCTTCCTCATGGGGTTTTTACCTGATTACTTTTAAATCAGTGCAGGACTGTCCAGTTAGAGGAATTTAGTCAGCATATTATTTAATGCCAATGATGTGTTAATGTTTCATACTTTAATTTTCTCCCCCTAATCACAGTCCAATGTATAATCTGTTACATATGATCAGACATTTCTTTTGAATTAATTTTAGTTTATTATGTTTAAATAGTTGGAATTTTCTGGTCCTTAACTGCAGTTTAAAGATTAACTTAGATTGTGATGCTTTGTATGTACACTTAACTTTTTACTAAAGTGAAAGAGATACAAAATTCAGTTTCATTTAGTGACCAACAGATGTAACCTCTGTTACTGCGGGGGCTTTTTATTGTTTTTTTTAAAAATCACATATTTTACAATTTTAGTCATTGATACTTAATGAGTTTGTTGCTTTTAGACAACTTTGACACCTTTGCCCAAAAAGTGTGTGCTGACTTTGACTCCTGCAGTGTAGTAAACATAGCTAAAGATTATAGTAGCTTTTATAATTTGAACTTGTTAGACTTGACATAAATATAGCTTTGCAATGAATAGGTTTTGTTGACCAGTGATTTGATAAATAATGTTTCAGTCTTTCAAGATTAAAATCAAATGTCATTTTAAAAAAGGGAAAAAGGTCAAAATATTGAAAATGACATTCTGTAATTGAGTTGCAGTGTGATGCCTGTATACCTATTATTTGCAATATATGTGGCTTCTTCTGAACCACTGGCTTTAAATGTTCCTGATGAAATTGAGCTATCCATCATGTTTGAGAACCAGTAGTTGACAAAATTAATATGGACCAAGTGAACTGGTCTAGCTCTGTCAAAATGAGGGGAAAACGGGAGGTGGAGAAGGAATTAGGTATTGAAAGCAAACTTTAAATCAAGTACTTGACAGTGCTCACAATTGAGCTGCCAGAACTGCAGTTTAGGGTTCTAATGAACTTCATTTTGTCTTTCAGCTTTACTGAGAAGTCCATACCCAGTGTGATTATTTCGCATCGATACAAAGCTCAGGATACTCCAGCTCGTAAAACATTTGAACAGGCACTGACAGGGGCGTTCATGTCAGCAGTCATCAAAGATCTGAGGCCCAGTGCTCTGCCTTTTGTAGCCAGCTTAATCCGCCATTACACAATGGTGGCAGTTGCTCAGCAGTGTGGTAGGTAAACTGGACTACAGATCATGTGGACTGTCATGAGAGGGGTGGAGAAGTTTATACTTTTTATAGTAGTAATTTGTTTTAAGAAAGTCATGATATTGCAGTGGCTTCTGGGTAGAAATCTTACTTTTTGTTTGAATACTGAATTATATTTTAATTCTTTTGAGCAGTGAAAAATTATGGAGCAGGTTTTAAAAAGCAATCAGTGACCTAATAATGCATGAAAAATGCTCCACCTAAGGAAATAATTACAGCTTGGAACAGGTTATAATGCCAGAGCATTTGTGTTACTTGATATACACAGTTATTTTTGCAGATGGTCTTTAATTGGGTTGTTTCCACTCATGATTTTGAAGGACCATCAGAGAAACGAAGTAAATGTTAGAGCACTGCATTGTCTTACATCTATGAAGAAAACTTTGTTTGGAACTGTACTGTGTATGACAAGTAATTTGGGAAAAGACATGGTATAAGCATATCACTGTTCATTGTCACATTAATGTAACTTGAATTTTTATGATTCTTCATTTTAATTAAATCTTCTTTCAATGCACAGTCTAGCGCATAGAAGAAAATACTCAAGTAGATACAATCTTTTTTTCTTCTAAGAGTGAAGAATGCCTTACAATCCATTTATATGCAAATAGACATTTCTTACTGGTTTTGCCATCAACTAGTCCGAGGAGTAGTAAAATCTAATTGAAAGACTATTCATATTGAAATATCCATTGTTTTATCTTTTTTTATCTCTCTTTCTTTTCTTCCCCAACACAAATTACAGGTCCTTTTTTGCTGCAGTGCTATCAGGTTGGAAGCCAGCCTAGCACAGCCATGTTTCATAGTGAAGAAAATGGGTCAAAAGGCATGGATCCCTTGGTACTTATTGATGCCATAGCAATCTGCATGGCATATGAGGAGAAGGAACTCTGCAAAATAGGAGAAGTGGCTCTAGCAGTGATATTCGATGTTGCAAGCATTATCTTGGGTTCAAAGGAAAGGGTAATATATATATGTATTTATATTTTAAACGAATTTAAATGATGTAGTTTCAGCCAGTGCAAATTTGCTTCTAAAATTTTGGAGGCTACCAAATTTTGGAGGCTTTTTCAGTGAGCTGAAAAGCAAACTGATACATGTCTTTCTTTCCAGGCTTGTCAGCTTCCCTTGTTTTCATACATTGTGGAACGTTTATGTGCTTGCTGTTACGAACAAGCTTGGTATGCTAAACTAGGAGGTGTTGTGTCAATTAAATTTCTTATGGAACGACTGCCACTAATTTGGGTCCTCCAGAACCAGCAGACTTTCCTGAAGGCACTTCTGTTTGTTATGATGGATCTAACTGGAGAGGTATCTAATGAATGAATTATATCAAATAGTATGGGGAAAACGAACTTTTGTTCTTAAATTCACCCAGATTGACTCTTGCTAATCTTGATTTTACTTAACTTCAGAATGTATTGTATCTGCGATAGTTATGCCTGAATTTTAGTCATTTTAACTTAAACCAAGACCTGAAGTTAGGAATGAGGTCTGTTTTTAACACGTAACTTTGAAAAAATTGTTGGAATTACACTGGCTTGTTTCAGAGGAGACACATACAGGTCACATTTAGATCAGTGAAAGAATGCTAGATTCACTGTCACTTGCATGAAAAACACTGGTGTTTTTTTCTTCTGTGTTTAGTTTGTTCTTCTGTGTTAGTTCAGTTCATGTTATCAAAAAGCTGTGTATAGTTATAGATACCTAGAGAGTTGCAGGCTTGACCTTTTCTCAGTTGTGAATCATACAGTGACAGCATTGCTAAGGGTTCCAGTGCTTAAGTTAGTTTATAAAATTGTGTTGTATTTCAGCTCTCAATTTCGGAATGATTGGTGGGAAGACTAGTTTAATGTGTGCTCTGTTCAAGCTTTACATGGTTTTAGCTGTTTGCAGAGGATTCAACAAAATCAAATGCTTAGTTCATTGATGGGTAGTGTGTAGGTTTGTGATCTTTGTTCTGTACATGTTTAATAAAAATAATCTAATACCTTAGGTTTCCAATGGAGCAGTTGCTATGGCAAAGACCACATTAGAACAGCTTTTAATTAGATGTGCAACTCCTTTAAAAGATGAAGAAAAAACAGAAGAAATCCTAGCAGCACAGGAAAAGTCTTTTCATCATGTCACACATGACCTCGTTCGAGAAGTAACCTCTCCAAACTCCACTGTGAGAAAACAAGCCATGCATTCGTTGCAGGTACTTGCACAGGTCACTGGAAAAAGTGTCACAGTGATTATGGAGCCACATAAAGAGGTAAGAAGAATACTTACTAAAAGTGAGTTTGAAGTTGTTTACCAGGTTGGATTTGCAAAATGCTTTTCTGAGTACGTTTTGCCACACTAGTGATAGCATATGCTTGTCATTTACTAGGTTTCATTGTTCTAAAATACACTGTGGCTGCAGAGAATGTAGAGATTCATTCAAGCTGTGCCTGATTACTTAGCCAGTATTTATAGTGTTTTCTGGTTGATTTACTTCCTGAAATTATGGGCTGCTCATCCTACCACCAATCAGACACAGGCTAGGCCAGGTAGATACTCATTTTGAACCTCAATTTTGTGTTATTCTCTAAATGTGAGGCATATTGTTACGCCTTTCTGTATCCAGGAGGAGACTATAAAGACCAAAGCTGTTTGAAATAACTTTTTGCTAGATACACCTTAAGGCTGATAGCATTCATGCTCTGGAAAGACAAGTAAATATATATATATAAGCCCTAAGGGCCACCACAACATGAGAACTTATGGCTGTTGTATTGTAGTTTGGGAACACACAGAGAAGCCCCCTAATTGATATCTTATTTTGGTAATGGTGAGAGAGAAGTTGGTGTGATGGAAAAAGCTTACATGAATGTTTTTGTTTTTCTTATGTTCTAGGAGCTTAAAATATTCTTGACTTGAACTTTTGAAATGCTCAGGTCTATGAATTTCTTTGTTGTTTATAATATTGTGAATTTATTAAATGTCATAGATCTGTTCAATGAGAATGTGTAATAATTACTGAGTAGTTCTGATAACTATCTATAAATTAAATCAGTTCAGAGAGGTACTTCTTTTCTTGCATAGTGATTTCTGAAGAGGTATGACTGGAGCCACAGTAGCAAATGGACAGAAACATGCATGGTGAGGTCTGTAGGGTCATTCGAATAGACTGCTAATTCGGTAATCTAAATTACATTGTGTAGGTTCTCCAAGACATGGTTCCTCCTAAAAAGCATTTGCTTAGGCATCAACCTGCAAATGCCCAGATTGGCCTGATGGAGGGAAATACATTTTGCACAACCCTGCAACCCCGATTGTTTACCATGGATCTAAACGTTGTGGAACACAAGGTTTTCTACACAGAGGTACTTTCCTTTTATGTTTTGATATTTGAATGTAGATGCTTAAGTAGTGATGATGTTAGAACTTTCATTGTTTAAAAATACACATTTTTCTCTGCATTTTAAACTTTCACTAAAATGTAAGAATTTACCTTTTGAAAAATGAACTGAGGTTTGCCTTTACCTACAACATAATGGCTCTGAGCTAAGCAGAATATTCTCATGTCTGTGAAATACATTAAATGAACTTCGGTATTGAACTCCTAGTCTAGTAGCCCTAACTTTCATTTTTAGGTCTTATTTTATGCACAGTGTAGCTATTAAATAAATTGTTGTAACACCAGAACAGAGATGGTGTTTGTTAAGGTTTCTGAGTCCCTAACAGTTTGAGTAGAATGAGATATAAAACTAGTGTGTAGATTTAACTTAGAGAAACTGTTTAGTCCCTTGGTTTCCTAGCTGTCTTGTCCAAATACAAGTTCAGGATGTCTTTAGTACCAACCGTAATTGCAATTAGCAAGGCCAGGTATGCAGAGGATCCTCTGGTTTTGACTTAAGACAAAACCAAAGTACTGTACATCAAAAATGTACACCTTGTAAAGGTGAGAGTGATATATTGGTATTGTTAATGTCTGAATCTTGATAATGTTCTTGTATATAGGTGCAACCTGGATGTTGTGAACTTGCGTAACTTTGTTTCAGCCTGTTCAGTGTTTTCTAACAAAACCTATATACATATATTGAAAATATTTGCCTGCAAAGAGGAGAGCTCTGTAGGAAAGAATTGTCCCTCTGGGCATTAGAATTACTGAAGACATTTTCAGCACATTTTTTCCCTGTTAATCTCCTGTTTTCTTACCTCATTCCTCGATATTTTCAGTACTCCACTGCCATTCAGGAGGCAAGCTTTTCTGTAGACCTGCTCTTTTTTCATATGAGCAGCCTGTTTGCAAATAGACCGGGAAGGTAGTGGCCAACAAAATGCAAAGTGGCTAATTATTGCTTGACTTCTCTCTGGCGGCAGTGCTGATGGGCTCTCTAGCCTCTGGCTAACCACCAGTTTTAACAGGAACTTACACCCTGATTTTGAGTAGTTTTTTTGCTTGTTGGTGAGACTTGAAGGGTGATTAGTGTGTTTCCTTAAACTTGTTTCTTTGAGGAGACAAGACTCAGAAAGTGATAATACCATTTCAAATGTGATTCGTAATGCTATGCTGAAATGATTTACTTTCTTTCCTTTAGTTACTGAATTTGTGTGAGGCTGAAGATGCTGCTTTAATGAAACTACCTTGTTACAAAAGTCTTCCATCACTTGTACCGCTTCGGATTGCAGCCCTAAGTAAGTAAAACTTCGTAAGCAAAGTTTGGTGTAGGTAAGTGTCCTTGTGAGCAGCGGGCAGTCCTCTTCCCAAGATCAGCAGAAAACTTGAGACTGATGACTGCTCTCTAGAGGTCACAGTTTAATGGAGAGAATAATGGGAAAGTATCACTGCTTTCTTAATGACTAGGATTTAGTTTCTGAAACGAACCCAAAATATTTTTAGACTAATTATGTTATATAGCATTAGGAAAACTTTAGAATGCTGTTAATAGAATTCCCAGTCTTTTGTATTTTATGATGCCTGTAGGTTTTGGCAAAGCATGTTATGTTTTTTTCTGTGTAATTTAAGATGAAACAGAAGAAACTTGAAGAGAAGAAATGTTGAATTAGGTTTTGTCTTGGTTTTTTTTTTCCCTTGCTTGATACTGAGTTAATAAAGAGAACAAATGTGATATTTGCAGATGCTCTAGCTGCCTGCAATTATTTGCCTCAGTCAAGAGAGAAAATCATTGCTGCACTTTTCAAAGCACTTAATTCAACAAATAATGAACTGCAGGAGGCAGGAGAAGCATGCATGAGAAAGGTTAGTGTATTAAAACAGTGTTGCTTTTGAAGCCATTGTTCTCTCTGCTTTACTTACTTGTTACAAAGCTTCTTGTGAAAGTTCTCTACAGGAAATAATGGCTGCTCTGTTAACTTTTTGTTAGTGACACCAATATAGGTAAGTTTCTGTCAGATACGGGGTTTTTGGGGGATTTGGAATTAGCCATAGAAGTTTCTTCTGGTTGAAATTAAGCATTGAAAGTTATTGGGCAAGGACCAAATCTTTCAGTCTTTCAGTCTTTCTGTTTGTCTGGTCTTTGTAAGTGTAGCTTCTTTTCTAATGAACAGTGTCAGTCCTTCCCAGCAGTTTTGCAAATGTGCATCCCTGGCTTTATTGTAAAAGCTGTTCTCATGTTTCTCCTTTGCTCCTAAAAAGTAGTAAAAGACCCCATAGTTGGTTTTGGAAAAGTGAGCAATACAGCAGAATTAGACTCTGCATCACAGTGTGGCAGTTTCTTTAAGGAACAGGACTGTGGCTGCTCTTTAAGGTCACAATCATTATCCTTATGTGATGCTACACTACCCTGTACTGGGGATGCTAGATTATAGTGTAAAAAAGCTGGAAGGACAGGGAAAAGGCTATTCTCTCATCATGGTTTGTTGCACAGTAGATATGTTTAATTCTGATTCAGCAAGATTTTAATACCATTCTTATAAATACAGAAAATGATAATAAAAATACTCATAGCCTCTTTGTACTGTGTAGATCTGGTGGTATGTGATGGGGAATGTAACTAGAGTAATACTGCTGGTTTATGTTTGTGAGGCCATTGACTGACTAGAGGTCAGACGTTGTCTTTTCATGTCAGTCTGGTCATGAGAGGGAATGTACTTATTTATGGCTTGCTGACAGTACAGTTGGGCTGAGAGGTAGGAGGAAGCAAATACGGGTTATTCTGACCTTTGCAGTTGGTATAAGATTTTTCTGATCGTTTTTTCTCTGTCATAAATCCATGCCCACAGGATGTTTGGTTATGAAATATTCTCTTTGTCTGCTTGCAGCCAGGTTCTCTTGGACTTTTATGTTACTCAGAATGCGTGCAGACTGTAAGACAGAAATTGGCTCTTGCCTTTGGCCAGATGCTGTGTATTTAATTTATAGTTGTGGCAGTTTTTCAATTTGTCTGTAATTAAGATCTCCTCTTTGATTATATTATGGAATATCCTACTGTGTGTCAGACATGCCTAAGTGCTTCCCAAATTCATCTTGTCACCATGTATATTTCCAGCAAAAAACATTGTTTAAGGTATTGCATTCTGAAAATACAAAATAAAAGAAGAAAAATCAAGTTGGCAGAATTCATTTTAAGAAGGGTGCTTGCGCAGAAGTTACTCCCCTCTCCATCTGTATCTTAAACCTGTACTCTCTTGCAGTTCTTGGAAGGAGCTACCATAGAAGTTGATCAAATTCATACACACATGAGACCATTACTTATGATGTTGGGAGACTATCGAAGTCTGACACTGAATGTTGTGAATCGTCTGACATCAGTCACTAGGCTTTTCCCGAACTCTTTTAATGATAAATTCTGTGATCAGATGATGGTAAGCCTGTTGAAGTTTTCTTCAGCTCTTCTATAGGAATTTTTCTTTGAACCAGTATTCATATTGTTGAAAAGTCAAAGAACAAATCAGTAGTAACTCAATGGACATATTGGTAGTACAAGATTTTCATTTCACAAAAAACTTAAAACATTAAAGAGCTAAAACATTTTAAAGAGCTACTAAACCAGGAAGTTGAGAGATGTTCTTTTCTAGTGAAGACATACCTAGTTATGCTGAGGTCTGCTTGGACAAATTAATCATTAAGCAAGGTGCCAGCAGCATAATACACTAAGCAAACCCTTGAAAACATGTTATACTTCCTAATGGAGTAAGTCTGTTTTGGTGTTTCTTCGATTTATAAAATGGTGGAAGGTATTGCCCTTCTGATTTGCTGATTTTAAACTGTGTATGTGAATTCTTTACCCTTTTGCCATGGAAGTTCAAACATTTAAATGCATACATATAAAGGAAATCATTGAACAAATGTAAGCCTATCAGATTTTTATGCCTTTTAATGCATGTTGTTTTGTAATCCCTGCTTTCTTTAGTATGGAAAGGACTTCTAACAACAGGAAGCTCTTCATTCTAAGGCAGTGAAAATAACTAATGAGTTTTTCCTTTGTTTCCTTCAAACAATCGATTTTGCCTCTACTTGTTTTCTTGTAGCATGTGCTGTCACTTGCTAAAACGGAATAGTATAGTCAGAAGAAGAATACTAATTATCCTCTCTTTGTAGCAACACCTGCGTAAATGGATGGAAGTTGTAGTTATTACACACAAAGGTGGACAACGGAGTGATGGAAATGTAAGTCACTGAACGCTTGTGTGTGGGAAGACAAAAAACAGTATTAATGTTTTGGAATGATAGAACTCAGTTGTAAATGTTGCCATAACTGATTACACACTGATGTTTTGCTACAAGCTAATGAACTTATGTGTATGTTGAATAGTTGTTACAACTCTTAGTAAGAGAAGCTTCTTATCTGCTGACAGTGGTTACTTTAAAGCCTATTCCATACAGGTTGGTGTGGAACAGCTCATTGGTTTTTATTTATTTGCTCAGGATTTTCTGCTTAGAAATCTGTTCTTCGTTGGAATGGCTGATGAGCTCAGCTGCATATTCCCTCTTTTTTCACTAATATGTTTGATGTTCACAACATAGTCTTGTGAAAATTCTACAGAATAATATAATCCCACTTAATTTTAATGATAATTTTTAATGATATCATATAATTTGTGAAAACCAATTTCAGTATTTACCAGTTGAGATCACATTAAAATCTTTCTTCCATCCAGATTAATGGTCTCCGTGTTGAACTATGGGAAGCTGATCAGTGTTATTATAAATGGAAAATGGCACAGTGTAATGACAACACTGTGTGCTCTTAGCAAATCAGCACTGAAGGGAATTCCTGCTTCAGTGTATTTTCATGTACATTACCAGAAGCCCTATAATTCTATTAAGATTTTATTAATAACTTATATTAATTGTTGAGATTTATTATTGCAACTAGGAAAAAATAGGGGAATATCACTAGTTTCTTTGGTTTTTAAATGAAAATTAGATTGGGTTTTTGTTTCTCTCAAAATGCGGTAATGGCTTAATGGCTTTTCTTCACTCTTT